AAAAGTTTATAGGATGGTGGCGCGTGATTCATGCGATTGTTCGCGACATCAAAGCCTTCCCTCGCAATGAAGGCTCGCACAAATTTACGTGCATGAATTATATCGCATCGTACGCGCGGGTCACAAGGCTGGCGTGAAAAAATATGATTTAATGGTCGTTACGCCGTTCGGATTGCCTCCTACGAATTTTGTTCGTGACGGAATCCTCGTTCTGTTCGGTTTAACGATCAGCTTCACGTTATTTCTTTTCTAGTCAGGTATCCATGAAAATTCTACGATTTAGATCGGGTAATTGCATTCTCGAATCTCGTTCTTTTGTCCGCAAAAATTCACCGAGAAGGTTACAAGTTCACCGTCCGGTTCACTGTACCGCAACTATGATTTTAGTTTGCCGTATTTCGAAAATTCGTGAGCGAGATCGTAGAAGAAAGGAAATATCGAGGCGAGTCGTAAATCATTTTCGTTCCTGGAAGCTTTCGACGACTCATCGTGTCAAAGTTGTCTCGGAAATGGCAAGAACCTGTTACAAATAATAGCGGATGCACGATCGATGAATTAAGTTCACTCGATAAATCGAATTCGAGGCCCAAGAAGAAGGGTCGACTCGTTCCCGTTTTTGTTGGAAGAAATATGTCGACGAATACACCGAACCTGTCGTCGGTAAACATGCATGGTAAAAAGTATGCGCGATAAAACGCAGAAATTGCGGTCTAGCAGGTAATCTCTAGCTCGAAGGTAAAGCAACGTTACAGGGACGCGGAATAAAACTGTAGTTTTAGGTTCGAATGAAACGAACGTAAGCCCGGAGTGTTCGCGCGCTTGCAACCGAATGGAAGTTCGAGAAGACTCGGTGGTAGGAGGATGCGTTCTTCGTGAAAAGGAAACTCTGGGCTGCACGGTGCACGCGAGAGTCCTTCTGCAGTCCGCAGTCTGGATACTGGAGGGCCACAAAGGCTGCGAATGGGGGCACAGCTCGTCGGTCGATAATCCTGATTTAGACGCGGTCGTATATTAGACTAAGGATCGTGAAATTGAATGGCGGAATCAGCTGAGAGACCGATCCCGTTTCCGTTTCCATCCGAGGAACGGGGGACTGTGACGCGCGAAAAATAAACTGCCTGCAACATCGCGGGGGCGACGCTAGTCAATTTCGCAGGTGGCCAGCACACCTCCTCGACTCTTCTTCTTCTTATTGTCACTGTTGTTTCTTGATCTTCTTACCAAATTCTGGATTCGAATAACCTAAAATTCAAATTATAATTCGATAATCAAATTAGATATTACATTATTGTATATGCTATAATTAGATATCAAATTATAACTATATAATCTAGATTCAAAATTCAGAAAGTAACGAAAACGAAATTCCAAGAAATCGCTCGAATTTTGTTCGCATGTTAGAGGGATCAGTTTTAACTCGATAACGCGATTAGTTTCAGGCAGGGTTTCGTGAAAGAGAAATACATTTCTTAGATATCATTTCTTTTTCACTCGAAGGAATGATTTTCTTGCCAGTATTTTTTATCGAAATTATTCTCGAACGTACCAATTTCGTGCAAAACGAATTGTCCGCTCGTAAATCGTTTCTATCGTAGCCTATGAAACTTGTTCGTCGACGAAGTAAGCCATGCGTTGGACGTATAATCGAGGGACGTTTGCATAAATAGTGTCGATATATGAAATTATATTCGCTTTCTTTTATATTCATATCATATGTATATATAAAGGGTGTTACGCCTAACTGAGAACAGTGAAATATCTCGGAATAGATCGTAGCTACGAAAATAATGTTTATACAAAAAGTGTTCGGTATAAAGAGATGTTTTAGGTAGTGTCAGTAATTTTTTTGTTGACGTAATAGTGAATGATATTTCATACATTTTTTTAGTCATCTTACGATAGCTGATTTCAATACGAATATACAATGTTGTTTAATTATTTCTTTCAGATAATCATAAATTAGAAGCAATTAAATTAACGGGAGGCGGGGGGAGATATTTCACTGTTCTCAGTTAGGCGTAACACCTGGTACATATAATATGCGATTTCGCTGTATGATTTGCCTTCTTTATATCATTTCACTGTTAATTCTCTTACTGATCTGCATGTTTCGGATTTCTTGCGATTCACTCTGTTATATTATTAATAATGAAAATTGTGACGGAAATTTTGAACACTGATACCCTTGGACTAACTGCTAGTGGAATGAGTAATGTTTGCTTACATTCTGCGATCTTCGGGAATTCTTAATTGTCAGAGTTCGAATACTTTTGTGAGCCATTTCTGGTACGTGTTTACAATAAATGTACCGTGAAAACGCTATATATTGTTGAATTATTTTCTAATTTTGCTTACGCAGTTTTAAGACCCATCCCTTGTTATATGTGTCATATTATATCGAATGCTTCAGTTTAACACACATATATTTTATTAATTGAATGTTAGAAACGCGCAAGCGTTCGAATACTTTCGTATATGAGTGTACGTAGATTAACAAGGACTGAATGATCGAAGGTTATATCAAGCCCAAAGTTATATCAACCAGATATTTCATCTTAACGCTTACAAATACAAATAAGTAATTCGCTTGTTCAAGATGTAATACAGATACAGATTTATATCTCCAACTTATTTTTCTGTAATAGAAATGATCATTGTTTCTGCACATTCTCCAAGTAATACGACAAATTCCGTGTTAATATTGTGTTTAGCAAAATTGGAAAAGAAATCATTAGAGTGAATGTCGAAGTAAAAAAAAAACATAAGAACTTCCTTCAAAATATTTCACTTTGATATATGTATAGAATTGTTTAACAAGTTTGACAAATTGATTCCGACATCGATGAAATATATATATATTATTTCCAACTTATCTTTCTGTAATAGAAATGATCATTGTTTCTGCACATTCTCCAAATAATACGACAAACTCCGTGTTAATATTGTGTTTTATTAACACGTTCCGTGCCACGTGTACCATCGATGGTACACGCTTGCATGTTTACTTAGTGAACTGAACAAATTGTTTACAAGAAATTTAGAACCGAAGAATCAATTTCCACCGCAAGAATGGGCGTTGATAAGTTTTTGTTACGTTGTTATGTGTACGAGAATTAATAATTGCACGTAATACATCAAGTTTTAGTAAAATATCAAAGTGTGAAGATTCGAGTAAAAAAAGCTCGGCACGGAACGTGTTAATTGAACGTTAGAAACGTAAGCGTTCGAATACTTTCGTGTACGAGTGTATAATATGTACATGTATTTTCGTGTTTGGACATTCGTCGACGCGAACTAGCTAACACGAGATGTTTACGTTGGATACGTGCAGCTATTACGACGGTCGGCGCGCGTAGTCGCGCTTGTCAATCATACAACTATGATTACAGGATTACGAGTTCATAAGGCAGACGCGTAGCAACTACAAAAGCGCTACCATTAAGGTACCGAAAGAGTTCCACGCCTAGTCAACGGCAGATTATTATGCTCGGATACGAGAGAACGAGAGTTCTACCGCGAGCCCGTTATTAATGCGACCGATACTCATTCCGCACTCATCCGTAGATACGATCTCCCCGCCCAGTCAATCGGATCGCAGAGTCTAAACCCGTAATTACCATTAGCCCACCCATAGCGAGTGCGATACCACCGCCGAACCAACGAAACTTTCAATTTACACGTTCTTAAGTCTTCGCTATCGAAACTATGTTAAGCAAACGCCGCGGCTCGTTTCGTTTCGTTTTTACGCTCCCCCCCTAATTGATTTCACGGGAACGGAACGGTCGTGCGTATTTCATACGGATTAGGTTTTGCCATCGGGATCAACGGTGGCTTGTGTTTATGGGAGTACGATGTCGTTGACGGTTCAATTTCCGACCTGGTGCGATTATTTGAATTTTACGCGTATGCGTGTGCGCCGAAATTGAGTTTGAAAGAGACATCGGGAACAGTTCACAGAATGATTTCTGGAACGAATGAATTTGACTATAATATATTTTACCATATTTAAGAATTACCATGGATCAAGTAATTTCAAAATAGTTCAATGGTTTGTTTTCTTGGAATAGCAGACACCCAAGAATCAGAGCTTTGCAAATTTTTGCGACTATTTTTTAAGAAGCTATAAATCTCGAAACTTTTAGGATGCCTCGCCTCGTGTTTAAGGAATAAGTACGCTATAATGTGCGGTAGAAGTGTATGTACATACATACATAAAACTACATATTATATGTATTATATGTATAAATATTATCTGACTATTGCAAATTAATTTGTTCTTTTTTCGGCAGCTATAATATTACACTAACCGAAACATCTCGTCCCGTTAAGAACAAATGAACGACGATGAATTTGAAATAATTGAGATCGAAATTCGACGTTAAGACAGAAATCTTCTCTGTCGGAGCAATTGACCGACAATTATGCGAATTGTTGCTAATCGTGTACAACGAAGATATGTCCGACAACGATGTTAGGCGGCTCACCCTTTATACATATATACAAGCTGTCCCACAATTGTGATACTTCCGGGAAATGAGGGATTCCTGAGGTCATACGAAGCAACTTTCTCCTTTACAAAAATGTTCTCCGAGGCATCGTTCACGAGTTATTCACGAAAAACACTGACCAATGAGAGGCGAGCTCGACCGGCGCGATGCGGGCGAACCGATGAGCGGTTGAAGCTCAGTTCCGCTCATTGGCTCGGCTGTCTCGCGCCAGCTGATCTCGCCTTCTATTGGTCACTGTTTTTCGTTAATAACTCGTAAACAAAGCCGCGGGTTGCAACTTCGCTGAGGAAAAAGTTACTTCAAATGACCTGAGGAACCTCTCATTTCCCGGAAATACCATAATTTTGGGACACCCTGCATATATATACTATGCTGCTGATTCAGTAACTTTAGGAGTAAGGTCATTCCTGTCTGTGTTATACTATTATTCATTGAAAAGAAGTATATCAATTTTTTGAGTTTTTTAAACCGTCTTCTTTTGTCTCGTTTCAGATAATCTGTGCTGGTTTGAACACAGAAGAACGGTGAGTGCATTGTTTTATCATCTATCTTCGTAGAATGGAAATGTTTATTTCGATATTATTGTTTCCTTAAATTTAAAAAAATGATCTTTCTCTAAAATTATCATAAACGATATTCTGCTTATATCGAAACTGTGACAAAGGAATTCATTGTACATAGCTTCTAAAGTCTAGAGTGTATAATCTGGAATTCCACACCTACACACGCACACACACGCACACACACGCACATAGCCGATGCACTCTGACGATGCGCTGACTTTTCTGGAAGCGACCGTTGTAGTCACATTTCACGATTTCTTTCGAAACTTCTGCAGTTCGAAAATTGATATCTAGTGGTGATTTCATACGTTCTAATTCGACCGTGTACACTGTTGCAGATTTACAACGTCGACGCTGGTGGAAGCATTTCCGCGTCTCAAGTATATCATCGACCTGACAAATACAAATCGTTACTATGACAGACAGGTAAAGTAAACACCGACAAAATACGAATAAGTACTCTGCCTCTGCCTCTCTCTCTCTCTCTCTCTCTCTCTCTCTGCCCCTTCCCCCTCTTTCGCTCGTCCTTCTGGCCAAACTGCGATGATGAAATATCGTCGATCGATTACGAATAAAAAGTCGAATAAAAACCGAACGATGGAATATTTCTTTCTGCGATAGTAGTACAAGATATTGCAATTAAAACATTTTCTTCGTGTCGAAAGGAAAAGGAACAAAAACAAAACAGATAAAATTTCCGCGTGTTTCATTGTATCGTCATCGCGTCACCCTTCCTACAATTTCATTTATTAAAAAAACAGTTTGCATCGCCCCTGAACTGGGTAGGACACTTCGTGAAATTGCTTCATCGGCGATCGACGGTACGTTTGTCGGCCAGTTTTTTCGATATCAGCAATTTCAATTAGTTTATGCGCTACACGCGTCTAGGCGTCGTTCGAGCCACATAGAATACATACGACAAATATGTATACATATGTGTATATCTCCGCTGGAGAAGATATGGGACGTATCTATCGGAACAATTTGTTATCGCACAAAGGCAAAGTCAACAGAATTTCTCGCAGTGGCATTTGTTGATTCTTTAACCCTTAGCGCTCCGCGCGTTTCTCGAGTACCGCCTACCAGCAATTCCGGCACATTTTTGGAGCGGAGCGCCTGAGATAAAGGAAGTCATATTTTGATATGACATTATTATAATACAACTCAATTAAATTATGTTACAGATCTTTGAACTTGGAACGTTGATCGTTCGATGGTCCGATCTCGACTCTTCAATTGTCTGTTGGTGACACTCTTCCGTGGCAACCCCTATCTTCCATTATTTTTTAAGGAGTTGTTCACAACTTTCACATTACAGCGACTTGATTTGGACAAGTCACCGTAACAATACGATTATTCGAGCGTCGCGGCTCATTCTTATAGCTGCCGATTGTCAACAATTATAAAAACGAGGTGCGAAGCTCGAATAATCGTATTCCCTCTACCCAAATTGTCCATTTTTGTTTACAAATTAAAGGATAAATTAACCCTTAGCGCTCCGCGCGTTTCTCGAGTACTGCCTACCAGCAACTCCGGCACATTTTTGAGATAAAATCCTGAGATAAAGGAAGTCTTATTTTGAGCGAAAAAGATTACACGTCCTTGTGAACGCATTTGATTTTATTTATTTTATAAATATACATTTTCCTATTGTAAATAAAAGATAAATTTTAAATTTTGTAATTCACCATGGTGCGATATCTTTGGTAACAATCTCCCATGTGCATTCTGGGTTTACTTGGACAAGTGTCACAGTATTCACTTTGCCAAATAGAGTTACTAGATATTTCTTTCAAGTTTAGAACATTTTCTGCGTAATTGTTGGTTTCCTTTATAATTTCATTTACCGATTCGTCCGTGAAAAATAATTTACAATATTGCATCGGCTGTTCAATGTTTGTAGGAACTTGTGGTCCAATGACCTGTGGCAATACACTAAAAGCTATTCTATCTGGAATATGTAATTCTTCCGTAACATCGCGCCATTCATCCAAGTCTTGCAACGAATCTTTGCTTTCACTTTCAATAATTCTCATTCTTCGTCTCTTTGGTAGAATAATTTCGCTACTACTACTCGAAATGTCAGAATCATAATCAACATTGTCTTCCACAATGTCTTTTAACTCTTCGAAATCAAATACGTCTTCGGTATCACACGGCTCTAAATTCTCATCGTAATATTTATTTTTCTCCACGTTGCTAACCATAGAAAAGGTCAACAAATGGTTTAATCGTAGTGGTACAGATTTAGCACGTTTTAACCACAGATAACAATTGCTAACGCCGACGATAACGTACGCTAAAAACATTTGGCTCCGCAGCAGAGCCTTCGGAGTTACGGAACAAATGATAAATGTCTCCGTAGCGGAGCCTTCGGAGCGCTAAGGGTTAAACATAATATTGTTGAAATCCACCGGGTTAAACGCGGCTCGTCGCTGCGTAGACGAAGGAAGTATTTTTGTTTTTACGATGGTGTGAAACCCGTTTGCACGGGATGTAATATATCGGAAATGTCTTCGATGGCAACACAGTTGGCAGTATCTTCTGTTTACTATTAATATTTCTTCGGCGAATAAAAAAAATTCGTTATTTCAGCCACAGCTATATGTAATAAAATAGAGAAAAATCAGTAGAATATATTCGTTATGGGCACTAAAACAGGAAAAGAAAATTCTTTCGAACAATCTTTCTGAACGCTCTTAACGAGCCTACGTTGAACAATCATGTGACACGCACGAAAGAACTAAATTTTGTATTTAACCAAAAAAGAAAAAAATATTATTATTTAAACCCGCATCAGTTCGAATATTCGACAATGAACGAATCTAAATTTCTTCGATGACAATTAGTAGATCGATGCCTGCGGTTTTTCAACGAGCTGTTGCAAATTTTCTAAAGGACACAACTAATACCTAAAGGGCTATTAACGTAGAAAATTAATGTAGAAATTTGTTGGCGATATTACTAGAAGCGTGTGCGCCGGCAAGCACATGACCCGACACCTTCGCCTTTCGGTAATAGAGCTAAAGCGACGCGACGCGTCGTTCCTTCGTTTCTCTTCGCGAGCTGTCGCTGGTCCGCATTCCTTCATTCGGTCAGATATCCAAACGCGTGCGTGGCCACGGCTCCTTTACTTTGTCTCCTCTTATCTTTGTCTCTCGATCGTCTCCTTCTCCCGTCTCTCTTACCTGTTACCTCTTCGCCGGCGATCGTTCCTTCCCCTTTTTCCCCTTTTTCTATGTTTTTTTTCTTTCACTTCGCCTCTTGTTCTTCCCCTGGAAACCTAATATTACGTCGGGCTAGTTCCGACTTTATGCGGTATTTAAAAGCGGTCGAGCGGGCCCCAACTAATTTGTAACGGGGACAGAGGGGCCGCGGAGGCTAATGAACATATTATTAGATTTTCGGAATCGTCGACTGCCGGTTGATCCTCGGTGTCTAACGTGACCGTGACCATATGACCGTGACCGTGATCGTGATCGTGACCGTTTTGAGCCGGGCCTGTCACAACGGAAGACCGATCAATTATATTAATAAGTCTCGAAAAGCGGGCCTGTGGTTGGTCGATTCGTTCCTCCTTTCCTCTCTGTCTCTGTTTCTCTCTCTCTCTCTCTCTCTCTCTTTCTTTCTTTCTTTCTCTCTCTTTCTCTCTTACTCACTCTAGTTCTCCTCGGGTGGTCATTTGCCACGCGAGGAGAACTGGAATCGACGAGGGAAAATATTTTAACAGCGGCAAAAGAACGCTCGAAGCCTTTGAGCATCGATGCCGCAGGCCCTCGGTAATTAACACGGGGATTCCGTGGTGTCACCCACGTCTAATTAGAACGAATTAGATTTATCGGCACGCAAGGAACGAGCTAATCGCCCGACGATTTTATCAGCTTCTCCCAACTTCCCAGACCTTCTGTCGAAAAGATACGCCAAGGGACATAATTACAAGACACCCAGAAAGTTATTGGAATAAGAGCTTCGTACAGGCTGAGCATACTACACGTATCAGATCATTTTGTCGATTCTATCGCGAACAAAAGCGGATAGAAACCCACAGGAAAAACTGATTTCTCCTTCGAAGCCACGAAACTCTTGCGTTCCGTCAGTTTTCGTAATTATAATCCGTCATATCGGATCATATATAAGTCGGAGTAAATTTAGAATTTCCATTTAAAAAATTCACATAAAACTCTCTGTTATCGAACGATGACTATTTAATCGTTATAATTATCTGGGCATACGATTTGTAACCGCACCGTCGCAGAATTTCGCACGGATGAAATTATTCCTTTTGTTCGAATTGAAAATTGACGCGATCGACACAATTTACGATTAAATTATTCACCGTGACTGCGTTTATGCACCGTTCACTTACCTCGATCATATTTTTAATACAGGAAATTATAAACTGCGGCATCGAGTACGAGAAAGTTTGGGTCGCCGGTCACGAGATACCCTCTGCGGAAGTGGTGACAAGGTGAGTACAATTGTTACCTTTTCCGTTCAATTTTCTACAACGATTAGACCGCAGATTTTTCTGCAAGTTCAATAGTTTTTCTTTTGTTGCAACTGCGATAAACGAGAGTGGAAAAAATCAATTGAATTTTTCTACGATTACTTGTGCAATTTCATCGGAAACACTGTAACATTAGCAGCA